CTATAACTTTTTGTTAAGACTTTCCTTTTCATGGACTCAAATTTCTTGAGATGAACGAACTTTCAAAAAATAAATACAATGGAGAAAGAAAAGAAAAAATCACAATCCAAAATTCACATAAATAAGTTGACATTCAAATACTATTTAAATTTTTCCAAGGAACAGGACCAAGGAAGATTAAACAAAAATGTTTTAAAAATTGAATTAACAAATGCAAATCAAATGAAAAACCAAAACAATTGAAGGCTCTAGATAACATCAACAACCAAACTCAAGTCCTCATTAAAAATAAAAAATAAAAAAAAATGCATGTAATTCAAATGAAGAATACAACAAAATACTCATAATCAAATAAATACTTCAACATAAGTATAAGAAAACTCAAAAAATGTTAATTTGATGAACAAAACCTAACAATCATTTGATCATCACTACGCCTAATATTAAAACAATTTAATATGAATTCATCACTATGAGTTAAACTGAGTAAAGTATTCAAAATATGCAAATAACTTAACCAAGCTAATTGATGCTCCTGGTTTGTTGCACATGAATTCTCATCTTCACCACCAAAGCTAATTGACGAACAATACTCATTGATACTTCTTCTTCTTGTGATCCCTACTTGTAATACTCTTGTTGACATCTAATCTTGCTGCTCCCTTAATATTAGAGTTTGATCTTGTAATTTTTACCTTTATTTATATAATAGACCTTTATTTATATAACAGACCTTCATGTTATTGTTTAAAATTTTAAGAGACATCAAATACTATTAAAGGTTGGAAATTTCAAGAGTTACAAAAGTTTTACATTAAACATAAAAATAATAAACTTGTAATGAAATTTAAGGTTAAAAATTCCAAGAGGTTATACATGTTTTGCAGTCCACTTTTAATGACATTTTTTTAGGTTCAAAATTCCAAAGGTTATTAACCATTAAAAAAATGAAATGAAATTCAAGTAATTAATGTCCACTAATACTTTTTAATAAAATTGGATTTAATTTAAAGTGAAAAAAAAAAAAAAGAGTTAAGAAATACTTGGTTGGAGATTTCAAGTATCAAAATAAAAATAATACAGTTTAAATAAAATTTAAGGTTGAAAATTCCAAGGGTACCATTTCACTTTTAATCGAATTAAAAACATGTTTTTTTGGTCTTCTTCAACTTTTTTCATAAAATATTTGGTCATATATAATGTATATATTTATAAGCTATACTACTATTGAATGAGGTTATATTTATTATGCTTTAATGTACTTTTTTTTTTTGTTTTAACCTTTCTGGAGGCATTATAAACCATTATATATAGTTGATATATACGTTAATTAAATTTCTAAATTTAAAATAAGAAAAAAATATTTGGAAAAAGAGAAAAGTTTGAAGTTGGGTGGACATGTGTTTTAAAAATAAAAAATGGTACATTTTTTCCTTTCCCTTTTACGTTTTCTTTTTCCGTTTGTTGTGCATTTTTTTTTTTAAAACAAAGTTGGTACTATTTTTTTTTTTCCTTTTATAATTTTTTTTTTTTTCCTTTTGGAATAATGTGAATTAGGCTCTAAAATTTTTTGGGATGAAATTTTTGGGAAAGAACACGTTTGCTTTTAAATAGTGGGAATATTATATATTTTTTTCCTTTTTTATAAAAAGTATAATTAATTTGATTTAAAAATACTTTTAAATTCCTTTTAATATAAAAATTATGGTTTAAATATATACATATATAAAAGAGTTGAAGAATCTGAACAATCAAATAGTATAATTAATCAGATTAAAAACATGTTCTTTTGATCTTCCTCAACTTTTTTCATAAAATATTAAGTCATATATAATATATACATTTATAATTTATACTGAGGCATGAATTATTATGCTTTAATGGACTTTTTTATGTGACAAAAAAAAATGTTAAATTCTCTACACTTTTAAAAGGATACCTAAAAACTTATATACTATCATTTGTAATTATTATGGGATTTCCTCATGAGTTTACACCTCATAAATCAAATGTCAAATTTAGTTCAATAGTCTATAATTTTTAAATCTTTTACTAAAATTCTAGATATGAAATGACCTTATTTAAGATTTTAAATCTTTCAAGTTGAGGAGGACCATCCTGATCCCATGGATGTCAACACCAATTTCATAATCCTTCCATCAACAAGTTTCATGGCTTTCACGCAATCCTTAATTCTTGCAAAACCATAAAAAAGGGATTAAGAACAAATAAAATAAATAAATAGTCAAGTGCAAACAAGAGATTAGTAAAAGACTTACATGGAAAAAAGCTTAAAATCCTAATATTTAATTATAAATTTGCCATGATTAAAAAGCATGTACTAACCGTTAATGCTCATTATCCACTTCCCCTCCAAAATTCCAATCAAAACCTTGAGGGTTGGTCAACAAGGTCCATTTTCATTTGTTGAAGTAATGTCTCCTAAAAGTTCAAGGCATAAATGTTAGAATATATTGTTACCATGTATAAGAAAGAATATGCAAGTCTCACAACAATAAGAAATTGGTAATGAACAATTGGATAAAAACATCATAGCTATAAAACATCAAAGAGGGAAGCAGATAAAACATCAAAGAGAGAAGTTTTGCTTTCCTTTTCGGCCAATCACAAGATATAGATAATTTTCCATTACTGCAATTACTGCAACTCCAGAGAACCTCTCAAATTCAGAAACAGTTTTGTGCAATTCAAGCTAGCAGACTATTTACAACTTCTTTGGTTCAGTGTAGGAAATGAAGTCAGAAATGAAAATGGTATATTACCACTTTTCGGTTAAAACAGTGAAAAATAATCTCAAAAGGCACAAGTGTTAAATCATAATTAAAAGCAATTGAATTGCAATTATTATGATTAAAAACTATATTTAATCAAATAAATAAAGGGAAAGAAGTAATACAAACTCTGGCGCCTTTAGTTAGAGTTCTTTGTTTGGTTGATGGAGATGGTTCAACTGCAGGATATTTGTATGAGGCGATGGAAAGGGCAAAAGAAACTATTAAACAACGTTGTTGTATTAATCAAGCTAATTACATGCAGATATGGGTGTTATTTGAAAAACGGAGAATTGAAAATGTAATCCACCCAATACATGCAGCTGCTGCATTTTTAAATCCTGCCTTCATGTGTAGCGAGGACTTCAGAGAAAATCGTAAAATGAAAGACGGTATAGATTTTATGTTAGGAAATTTTATTATTGAAGAAGAAAATGAAGATTTTATTCGAGAACTGCAATTTTACCGTATGAAGACCACAACTTTGTTCATAAATACAGCAAAGACAATGTTGAAAACATCTCATCCTCGTAAGTTTTTATTTTTATTTTTTAAAATATCTTGTTAAAATTATAATAAGCTTTATATATTTAGTTTTATTATTATTATTTTTTATTATGTGTAGGAGTTTGGTGGGATTATTGTGGGGGTTGTCTTCCTGTGCTACAAAAGTATGCCATTCGTATATTGAGTCAGCCTTGCAGTTCTTCTTCATGTGAGAGAAATTGGAGTGCTTAGGAAGTTGCGCAAACAAAGAAAAGGAATAGGTTGGCACCTACAATGTTGGACAATCTTGTATACGTAAGAATGAACACAATGATGATGGAAAAATTCAAGACACTCGAAGCACAAGATTTGGAGCCAATTAATCTTGACAAACTTAGTGACAATCTTGAATATGTTGATCATGAAGAATTGGAGGATTATTCCTTAGAGTCAACAGATGACGTTTCTAGTGATATAGTTACCAATAATGAAGATCTTTCTTGGTTAGATGGTGTTATCTAAATTTAGGACAATTTTTTATTTTTATTTTGGGTAACATAGTTGATTATTTGAATTAGAATTTTTTTCATTAATTTTGTGATGAAATTGATCATGTTATGGACATATGGTTATTGTTTCATTATATTTAGATAGTTTATTTATTTTTATTTTTTTATAATTATTGTGATAGTGTCAATTGTAATATTATTTTATTATTTGTTACATATTATTTATTTTCCTTACAAATATATGATATATAAGAAAATAATAAGATGTGTATAGCTGAATTTTTGATCCCGAATTTATAGTGTATAGAACGTATTATACACGTACGTATCCGTATTCATATTTTTACATTTCTGTATTTTTTTGCAGAATTTTTTAAACGTATTTTTTGAAAAATATCGAATTATACTTGTACGTTTCTGTACTCGTATTTTTCCCGTACCGTATTTTACTAACTATGGACTATATATGTATATATATATGCACGCACAAATATTTTTATTCATAAAATAATTATTTATATTTTTATTATTATGATGTATTTTACTTAGTATTGAATTCATGAGGGTAATTTTGGTATACAAATCATTTTCTTTTCACTTTCTTGCTAACCAAACTAATAAAATAACATTTTCCCACAAATTTTTACAAAAAAATCATGCTAACCAAATACATGATAGAAACATAATTTTCTTTTCTTTTACTTCACTTTCTTTTCCTTTCACTTTCTATCATCAATTTCCGGCTAACCAAATGAACCATAATAGAAACTAAATTTTCTACTTTACTTTCTTTTCCTTTCACTTTCCACCATCAAATTCTGGTTAACCAAAAAGACCCAATAATGTGAGGATGGGATGATAAAAATTCAATATTTTTTATTTTTATTTTTACCCAAAATAAAAATATATATATAAAGAAAGATGTTCAAATACAATATTTTTACCTATCTTCTCTGATAGCATACTTCGCATCAGTAAAGCACGGGTGTACCCACTCATGTTGTACCACAAGCAAGAGCATCCTGACCGTAAATCATACACCCCAAAATTAAAACGCAATAAACGGTCTATTTATCATCATCACAATCCCCAATATCACACCAACATGTATTATACTAATACACCGACAAATTCCACGTTACGTGATTGCTTCCAGATTTTAGAATAAAGTAAGGGTAAAAATGTAACTTCACCATTACTTTTAGAAATGTTGACGCCCCAGCAACCGCCTTCCCCATTCGCCGGACCGTTACCTCCGTCTAGAGGGTGGAGGGGGGGAGAGAGAGACCAGCGGTTGCCGTCAAAACCAAAACGGGCTGTAAAGAGGAGAGAGAAAGTAGAGAGAGAAACTATTGCTTCTGTTAGAATCAAAAGCTCGTCTCTCTTTCTCTCTCTAAACTGGTTTTCGTTCTGTAAAAAAATATATTTGAGATCGTGGGATTGAAGCCTTCATCGCTCTTTGCTTTTTACCCACACATTCTCTCTCACACATCTTTTTAATTTTTGCTTGTCGCGTAAAGTTTCGTCATTTTTGTGAGATCTTTAGTGAGAGCTTGAACTTCACAGTGAGATCGAGATTTTCTAGAGCGAGAAAATTCGAATAGTGAAGACGGTGTGTGAGAAAATCAGTTTAAATTTATTCAGTTTCGGAGATTCAATACCAACTTCGAAGGGTTTTGTCCATGGATTTGGAAAAGGTAAATGATTTGATTTCCGAGGCTCATTAGTATAAACTATTCGATTAATCCCTGCAATTTGTACAGTTAGAAATCCCTTTTTGTTAACAACGTTGAAATGCATAAAGTCGTAGCTAATGAAAATATTAAATTTTTACCTGAAAATATTTGTAGTTCCATCAATGCGTACAAATTTTCCTAGGATTTTAACTGTTACATTTGATTTTTTTATTTTTTTTTTTGGCAACTGGGTTTTCCAATTGGCAGCACAAATTTTGAAGAACAGCAGCTTCTGGAAATTTTTTTGTTCCATTACTGTGTAGAATTTTTTCCTAGGATTTTTAACTGTTACATTGAATTTTTTTATTTTTTATTTATTATTTATTTATTTTGGGCAACTGGGTTTTTCAATTCGCAGCACAAATTTTGAAAAACAAAAGCTTCTGGAAAATATTTATAGTTCCATTACTGTGTTCATTTTTTCCTAGGATTTTAACTGTTACATTGATTTTTTTTTTTTTTTGCCCACTGGGTTTTCAATTCGCTGCACAAATTTTGAAGAACAGAAGCTTCCGAGTACTTCATCTATAACCCTATCTGAATTCAGAGTTCACTTCTAATTTTTCTTGAAAATGACATGTAAGGTGAACTCTCTCTTTAACTTTTTTCAGTTTAAAACAAAGAACATATATGTGTTTGTATATATCTGCATTGCACAGGCTCATATACACGTGTTGGGGACCATCATTTCTAAAACATTTCAAGCTTTTACCTGCTTTAAAAATTCCATAAAACTTTGTTACTTCATTTTCAAGCATAGTAGGTTCCCATTACGGAAAGACATCTCTTCTGACCTTCTATTGAGTTTTACTGAAACTTGAGTTCAAAGATTAAGCAAAGAGGTTAATCACAACTAACCTTGATTAACCCTTTTTTTGTTTATGTCTTTAGTTCTATGATGTAAACTAACTGGTTAGTTAGCTTGTTGTTGTATATAATACATATTATTATGACTGGGTCGATTCATTGTCTTTTTGGCATTAGCACAACCACCCTGTTTTTAACATCTTAACTGTCTTCCCTTTTCTGGACAGCATAACAATACAATGAACAATTGGGCTGATTTTCGGTACTTTTAGGAAAGTTTAAAGTATGGGTATTTAGATTTTGGTATAATGGATATGGGTCTGTGAAGACAAAAAAGGGTGGTTAACAAATGGGGGCAATTGGTGGGGAAGAGTTGATGAAGTGGGAGAAGATGCAAGGAGCTGCTTGCGCCCGTGAAGAGAAGATCCTTGTATTGGTTAGACTCAGGCCTTTGAGTGAGAAGGAGATTTCGAGGAATGAAGTTTCCGAATGGGAATGCATCAATGCGACTAGCATTTTGTTCCGGAACAGTCTTCAAGAACGGTCAATGTTTCCAACTCCCTATACATTTGGTAAGAAAATTGCTCCACTCTGTGTTTTTAACTTTGTCATCTTTAATGAATCAGATCTTATTCTGGATTCTAAATGTGAAATATGTGAGGCCTTTATGGGGTTTGGGTGTGATCTAGATCATTTTGCAGCGTTGTACCTAAAACAATCACTCTACCCTTCGGTGAAAATTTGTTGGATTTAAGTTTGGTGTTTCTGGACACCATTGTAGTCAAAATATTTTGTTTTCCCATTTTCTGTGTTTCATCCACAGCTTCTCACTTTCGTTCCCTGTAAGTGATAATGTACTACTGATCAACCTTAGGGACTGTATAAGGACATATTAAAGTTCTTTCTGTATGCATACTTATGTGATTAGGAATTGCAATGCAGAAGTAAGTTTAAAATTAGTCCATAATATCTTTAATTCTTTAGAAACCCAGATGTTACACTGTGATGGGGTTTAACTTTATTGATAATTTTTATAGATGAATGTTCTTTTTCCTGTTTCATAATTCGTTAGCATTTATTTAAAGATGTACAAAAGTGTCTCATATCCCTCTTTCTTATTGCTTCATGCTTTGGGATAGACAGAGTATTTGGGGGTGACTGTTCGACAAGGCTGGTGTACGATGAAGGAGCAAAGCAGATTGCTGTTTCAGTTGTCAGTGGTATTAACTGTAAGTATAATACTGATTTCCTTGCTTTCTGGTTGTCAGAACCTCACTTAAGTTGAATTTAAAGTGAATGGCTTACCCTGTGTCCTTTCAGCAATTATTTTTGCATATGGACAAACAAGCAGTGGAAAGACGTACACAATGAATGGAATAACAGAGTACACAGTGGCAGATATATATGACTATATACAAAGGGTAGATAAATGCTGATTTTCCGTCATTTATCTGTTTCAGTAACGGATTCCATCATGTTCTCCTTCACTGTAACATTTTGTTCTTTGCTCCAGCATCAAGAAAGAGCATTTGTTTTGAAGTTTTCTGCCATCGAAATCTACAATGAAGCAGTTAGAGATCTCCTCAGCGCAGATAATACTCCTCTTAGGCTCCTCGATGATCCAGGGGTGAATGTCATTTTCACTTTCATTTTAATGTGGCAAGTATATATATTTTTCTAAGGGCTTCTCATTTCTTTAGAAAGGGACCATCGTGGAGAAACTTACAGAGGAAACTTTGAGGGATTGGGGCCATCTGAAGGAGCTCCTATCCATTTGTGAAGGTAAAGGCATATCCTGTGATAATAATATTGTACTGAAATGAAACCATGTTTTTATTTGTTGCATCATATTCTTGCAGCTCAAAGAAAGATTGGGGAAACATCCCTGAATGAAACAAGCTCTAGATCTCATCAAATTCTTAGATTGGTGTGTTTCTCTCTCCTCTCCCTTTTCTGGCTAGAAAATGTTTCACTGTTATATATTTTATGCAGTACTTTTGTATCCTTTTACTTACCTCTTCTGAATTTGATTATTCAGACGATTGAAAGTTCTGCTCGTGAGTTTCTGGGCAAGGACAATTCAACCACCCTTGCAGCTAGTGTGGTATAGTTCAATTGACTTGCTTTGTGAATTGAATTTTTATTAAATATAGAATTGCCAAGTGAAGTTATTATTCTCAAAATATAAACAAAAAAGATGATATTACATGCTGGAACATGGTTAATTAATTTGGTTTTTGTTGCAGAATTTTGTTGATCTGGCGGGGAGTGAGCGTGCATCTCAGGCATTATCAGTTGGGGCAAGGCTGAAAGAGGGCTGCCACATCAATCGTAGTTTACTGACACTGAGTACTGTTATTCGCAAGCTAAGGTTCATTCTTACCTCCTTTGCTGACCATTTTCGCTTTTTAACTTCTATTAGTACCTTGAAAACTATTGCATCTATTATAGTTAAGGGTTGTAGGAATAGCCTTCTGGTATTTAGTTCTTTTGCTTGAATGTACTTAAATGTGTTTCCCACAATATATTGTAGACCTTCAGTTATGAGCCCAGAGATGTTACCCTTATCAAGAATTTTAATTGAACAATTTGGAGTTTCTTCACTTCTGGCTAGGGTACTAAACAAAATCCCAATAAAAGGAAAAATAAATGGTGTTGCCGTGTTGGAACTTGGAATTAGTTTGTATTGGTGTGCCAATTTGAGGATTCTATCAGTATTTTCTATGAATGCATATTATTGAGATCATAGGAATAGATGCATATTGCTTCTTAAATATACTCCCATCAATAATCTTGCTTGTCAGTCATTTATATACTCAATTCTGTCATGTATCATTTATGGCAAATCTCATACCTTGTTAAAAAAAAAGCTAGTAAAAATCATTAAGTGAATTAGTATATTCTCTCAGTGGCTTATTATTGGTGAATCCACCTCTCCCTCTCCCTCTCCCTCTCCCTCTCTCCCTCCTTTTGTTTTCTGTTCTCTTTCTTACAATTTTTTTTTTTTTTTTTGGGATGATTGTAGCTTTTATAATGTAGAGAATTATATAATTCGTAGTTCATCAATTTAGTGTTATGACTGGATGCAGCAATGGAAGACATGGACATGTCAATTACAGAGATTCTAAGCTCACGCGCATTCTGCAAACCAGTTTGGGAGGCAATGCCAGAACTGCAATCATTTGCACTTTGAGCCCTGCACGAAGCCATGCTGAGCAATCTAGAAATACTCTCTTATTTGCTAGTTGTGCAAAAGAAGTGACTACAAATGCACAGGTCAATGTAGTCATGTCGGATAAGGCCTTGGTGAAACATTTACAAAGAGAGTTAGCTCGATTGGAGAATGAGTTAAAAACTCCAGTCCCTACATCCACTTGTGATTATCCGACATTACTGAGAAAGAAAGATCTTCTGATTGAAAAGGTTAGGATTCACTTTCAAATCATTCCTCACTACATTTACATGTGTTATCGTATCTCAATGCACCAAAATCAGGGGTGAGAAACAATTTCTGAAAGAGCTATGAGATATAAAAACAGTGAAGGACTTCTAGAAATTTCAAATGGTGGGAAACAGGAACTGGAAGTGAAACACAGAGAGCTGTGGGAATTGTAGAGGGAAGGAGCAGGAGAAATGGCACTGAAATGTGTCAGGAAGTAATTTATTTCCCATAAATCTTCCTGCACATTTCCATCTGCATCTCTACTTGTCAGGAAAAGAAATTATGTTTGCATCTCTATTTTGAATAAAAAAAACTTATAGCGTCTAAAAAACTCCAGTTGCATTCTAGAAAAATAGCCCTGTTACCTGTGATTACTGAACAAATGTGTCTTGGAATGCGCATTTTATACCTCTCATACATCTAGGACATAAGCATTACACTGATGGTGTAAAACTAATAAAGATCAACTTTCTGAAGATTGAATGGGTTTTCAAATTGTGGAGTGGAGTAATGAAAAGAAAGAAAAGGATAAGTAAAAAGAAAAAGACAAATAGCACCACACAAATTAACCAATTATAATTGATAACTCCATAAGAACTTTGGCATTTCATTGGCCTATGTGCCCATTTGTTTGTCTAACATGAAAAGATTTGAAATCATGTATCAACCAACAAGTGGCCTCCCCATCTTAAATTGTAATTCTCAGACATACTTAATGTGTTTATACTGGGATTTGGCCCTAAATGATTCGCATATACAATAATTAGCATTGCCTTTTGAATTACATTGACTCCTTGGTTTTCTATCATGCAGTTGGAGAAAGAATTGAGAGAGAGAACTAAGCAACGGGATCTTGCTCAATCTCGGGTTGAGGATCTACTACGAGTGATTGAAAATGGTCAAGCTTCAAGACAATGGGTATATATATATATTGCTGTCTATTTCTCGCAGACTTTTGTAACACCTTAGTTTTGCTGCTCCAAGTGCCAACTCTTATTTATTTCTTTTCTTTCAGGATGGGCTTAGTCATCATTCCAATTCGCAAGAAGGTGACAAATTGGAAGATGGATATTCAGTATCAGAGTCATCAGGTGTTGCCTATCCTCATTGTCTGGAGATAGGAGTCAGCAAGTTCACCACTAGTCGGTCTTCTGATAGAGATCATAGGAATAATCCTAAGGAGTCCTCCCAACAGCTTCCAGGGAATCATGGAGACGATTATCTGTCTGATGGAACTTCTTCACCACTGTCAGATAGTGCTGAGTTTGTCGGATCCAATCAATGTCATGGCAGGGAGTCATTCTCCTTGGGAACTGGAGAAGATTCTGATGACATCTGCAAGGAAGTTAGATGTATTGAGATGGATGAGTCCAACAAAGACAAGACCTCTGAATCCATTGCTTTATCAGCTAGTGAGGATGTAGGAATTTTAGCATTGACAACATCCAGGAATGGCAACTTGGAAGATGAGGAAACAACGTCAACCCCGCCTCGGGAAGTAAATCACATCCAAAATGATTTAACCTATTTTGCGTTGGAGCAGAAAATCCAGGGTGTACAAAAGACCATCGATTCTCTTGTCAGCCCTTATCCTGACGAACCATCTCCTTGGGATCAGACAATGGACGTGTCAGGTTCTAGAAGCCAGAGGTTAACAAGGAGCTGGAGTTGTAGAGCTAAGCTTATGACAGGCTCATCTTCACCATGCTTTGAGACAGCAGGACCAAATCAGAATACCCTGCCTAATGGATTTGAGAAAAGCTTTCCTGGAAGACCAGAAGGTTTCCGAAGGACGCCTCCAATGTTAAATTTTGGTGCCCACAATGCGAGGTTGTCAAGAAATAATTCTCAATCTTCTGTTGGGAGTCTTTTAGTAGATAGGTTGAAAGCTGAGAACGACATGACTTCCACACATGAGGGTATTCCAGGCATCGATACATTTGTTGCAGGGCTGAAGGAAATGGCCAAGCTTCAGTTTGAAAAGCAACGAGGTGATGGTCAGGTAATAATGTGCCTATATTCTTTGCCGGTGTCCATGCATGAAATTTTTATCATTTTTTGTGGTTACCTTTTTATGTTTTGCAGAATTTAATTCCAGTCGACGAGTGTATATTAGTGTGTGTCAATAATGTTTATTTTCTTTTTGTGAATTTGCATAAAGTCACCTTATACCTCTACTTACCAAAAGTTGTTATAATCCTTTCTTGAATATTGCTCTAATGTTCATGTCATATCTTTATTTTTGTTATTAGTGTATATTTTCCCAACAAATGTATTCGCATGTGGACTTTCAAGTATTGTTAAGTTTACGTTTTGATTTTTCATCTTGCATGCATGGAAATCAAATAATGTATTATACTTGTTTATAGAAAAATGTTCTTCAGCTTTCATTAATCATGTAAAAACATGACAAATTTCATTATATGGCTAAACTATAGAAGAAAGTTCTGTAATTTTGTAGAAGCAAGCCTTTTTCCGTGAAACTTGCTTCCTTAAAAATGGTTTCTTGTGTATATGCAAAGTTTCAGGAAGTGGAACCAAGTGTTGAAGGGTCTGGGAAGAATGTCAAAGATGTCGGATTAGATCCAATACAGGATGCATTGGAAACTCCTCAAAATTGGTTATTTGAATTTGAAAGACAGCAGAAAGTGATTCTTGAACTTTGGGATACATGCAATATTTCATTGGTCCATAGGACGTACTTCTTCCTGCTCTTTAGAGGGGACCCAACAGATTCCATTTACATGGAGGTAGAGCTTAGGAGACTTTCCTTCCTCAAGGAAGCATTTTCTCAGGGAAATATTGTTGCGGAAGATGGTCGTACTCTTACATTAGCTTCAAGGTCCTCTCTCTCTCTCTCTCTCTCTCTCAAATGATATCTGTGTTAAATTTGCTTGGTGTGTAATACGTACTCAGTTTACATTATTCAAAATTAAATGGATAATTGGATTTATTTGGGGCAGGGATGAGGGTCTTATGTGAAAGGTTTTGTTTAGATGTTTCTCAAATCTTCTGAATTCTATGAATCCATTCAAATTTTAAGGAAGTCAATTTATTTTATGGGATTCTTGCCATGGAAGAATTCAAACTTTGTTCCCTTGCAAGTTGCTAAGAATAGATCTTCTATTGGTTGTACAAAAAGCAATTAAGCCATTTTTGTGTTATATCTACTCATTATTCACCAACAAATTTTTTTTTTCCTTTTTTCCCTTTGGGGCATGACAGCATGAAGGCTCTTTTCCGTGAAAGAGAGATGTTAAGCAGGCTTATATACAAGAGGTTCTCGGAAGTGGAGGTAAATAGACTCTACCAGAAGTGGGGTATCAATTTGGATTCCAAGCGGAGGAGACTGCAACTGATTCACTGCTTGTGGACTGACACGAAGGATATGAACCACATTATAGAAAGTACTGCTATTGTTGCAAAGCTGATCAGGTTCTCGGAGCAGGGGCACGCCATTAAGGAGATGTTTGGGCTTTGCTTCACTCCTCCACGAAAGAGCCGAAGATCCCTTGGCCGGAGACTTGGCATGGCATCTTTTTTGTAAGCGTACCCGTATATAGACAACTACAGAAGCAATTTGGTTATTGAAATTGACTACATATTAATCATTTATCGTTTGAAAGTGAAGCAGGTGTTGGTTGACTGACAAAGAATTGTATAACTTGTTCTTATTCTCACTCAGTTTAGAAATGAAAATGTGAACTGGAAATTTGTCACATTTCTGATTTTTGCATATCTTCAGTTATGCATATGATGTGTTGGTTCTAATTTCTGCTATGTTAGATCAAAATTTGTGTCCAGGAGAAAATGTTGAAATTTTTTCGGTACATAATCGGTACAACCACTTGATCAGTGCAATCAGCTTTGCTGTAAAAGAGATCAGTTTATTGATCTAAGTTGCCAGAAATTATTAGGATGGTCCTAAGTTAAAGTGCCTCAGCCTAGGGGTGTGAGCTTTAGGTTATATTTTTTGTACATGGCTGATTCATGAGCTGTAGCAATTAATCAGCTTAAAAAGGTATTGCTTGGTGCAATCCTAAAAAATTTGGACGGACAAGCGAGAAGAGCTGTATGTTACTGGGCGCGAATCCTCTGTAGCGAGAAGAGCTGTATGTTACTCGGCTCGAATCCTCTGTAGTGAGATTCCCCTGCGGTTTCGTGCAGTGAATTTTAAGTGGTCTATATTTGGCCAAGTCATTCTTCAATTAACAGACATGGAGACTGATACCGCATTTGGCAATTACACAACCATTTATAAGTAACATCATAGAAGTCTAAAAAGTAATATCACCATTTTACAACATCACCACTTAAAAAGTAAAGGTTGTTGACAGCTAAATTAACAAAATAGACCATCTTCATTCTCAAAATAAGGTATGCACATAATGTAGACTAAGTAATGTCATATATAAACGTAACTCAATTCAACATAACATTTATGTTATTATTTTAAAGTCACTTGGATTAATTTTAGACAACAAACAAAACACTTGATGTATCCAAAAATAATGAAAAGAGCAACATCTCCTTCTTCTTTTTTCCCTTCCAAATATTAAAAAAAAAACACTTAGATATAAATTATTTAACATATCTTTGAAAAAAAATTGGCAAAGTAATATTAATAGTCACAATCGCCACCTTCACTGTCAAAAAAAAGATATTCACATAGTGCTGAAAAACTAATAGTCACATATAAATCTAACTCAATTCAATATATTATTTATATATTTTTTAAGTTAAATTTTATCATAAAAAATAGAACATCCAAAAAAAATAGTCACATGTTAATTTAAAGAGGATTTTGAAGGGGGTTATGAGGTATTTGGCTGTCAACAACCATTACTTTTTAAGTGGCGATGTTACCCTTTTACAAATGGTGAAATTACTTTTTAGAATCTTATAATGTTACTTATAAATAGTGGTAAAATGTTACTTGGTGGTGTAATTACTAAACACGGTCTCAAGAGCTATTAAACGAAGAACCACGTGGTCAAACATAAACCACTTTAGAGCTTACTGCAGGGTACACCATGGAACCCACTTCATAGGATTCGCGCCCTTAGCTCTAAAATTAAAAAGAATATATGTATATATATATATATATATATACACACACCATGCAGAGACTGTAGAGGACATGTCAACGGAACCCATTTCCGCGAGCCCAATCTGCTATTTCTGCAATTCATTAGGCTTTATTCGGATTGCACAAATGTGGGCCCAATTTAGTGGCTTGTGGAATCGGTCGCCAAATCCAGCACCCAACCGTGATCGTGGGCCTACACATGCGGACCCCAAAACAAATTTTCTTTAAAAACAACTAAAAATAAAACAGGCATCAGTCAATCTCACATTTGGTGAAGCTCTTTTACTGTTGAAATAACAATTTCGTCCAACCGTGAAGAGATATTGAGATAATTAATAGATCATCAAAACAAAGAATTGCTAGCAAAAGTTGTTTCAATAAGATATTTGCGATACACAGTTTATTATTAATTTTATATTTTTAGAAAACAATGTATTTTAATTTTTCAATGATAAATAAGGAAGCATCCACGGCTTAAATCGGCCAAAGGCATGAGGCTGCCATTGTTGAGTCTGAATACAAGCACTAGGATCTAACAAAGTTGCAGCATACATGTTAGCCAGATGAAACTCATGCAAAAGAAAATCAATTCACCCTTCTTTCTGTTAATAGGTGTTTTTTTTTTTTTTTTTTTTTTTTAAAAAAGAAAAAAGAAAATCAATTCAGTTTTCTTTGTATTATAGTTATTTCATCAAACTGTGGGAAATGAAAAGGGAAATCAATCTACTCTTCTTTCTATTATAATTATTTCATCAAACAGATGGTGTGCACCAAAAACTATAATGATAAGAAAATCAATTGGCATTGACATGGTCTCTAAAGTGGATTGTTATCAAGAACCAAGCTAACATGTAAGAATGAATGAAAAAGGAAAAATAATAATACTGCCAGTACAAACCCAACTCCAACATATTTTGCATCTGACTTCATCAATTTATCGCTATAAAATTCAAAAAGGCATTTCAATGCCATGTTTGTAGCAAATATGAGAAAATTGTGGCCGGGATACAAGACATAATCACCAGAATCAGAAGAAATAGTTGGGTAAGAAAATCATTGCCGGTGTCGAGAGATGATCACCGGAATCACAAGTGAGAAACTAGCCGGCGTGAGCAAAATGTTGGCGTCTTAAGAGAGAATCCCCGAAATTAAACAGAAAATAGGCAGCAAGAAAATCGTTGCCAAAGTTGGTGACGGGATAAATTATCACACTAGGTTATCGCAAATGGCTTTTCACTTGGGACGGATGACCATCCAACATCCACAAATTTGAAAAGTCAATCCAAACAGACCCTTAATCCCACGAAGCACACTATTTTAACCGACTCCCATTTAGTCTGTCGGGTGTCTCACAAAGCGCGTGCCCACACCATAACAGCTGTTGTGGGTCACATGGCTGTGTCCACAACTGTCACCGAACAGTCAAGTGTTGACAATTTTATTATTTCCTTAATTTTATTTATTTATTTTTTTCTGACAAGAAACTCACCCACTCTTGAAAGTTAAAACTACAACCTGTGCATTCAATATCTGAAGTTATTTTATACTAATTGTTTCGAACACTCGAGACAACTCGCTCACACACTGGCTTTGCGTGTGTGTCTATATTTGTAGAGGGGGATGTTAACTGGGAATGATGGGTTGCTAAGACAAATTCTACACCAGAAAGGCCAGAACACAATCAAGACAGTCCACAAAAACGAATATCTATGATCTATGGAATTACATACAATATTGAAGAAATTCCAGACAATGACGAGGCATCTTGAAAAAAAAAGAACTAGATATAAATTCCAAGAGATGATACAGGAAGTACCTAATCAGGAGAGAGCTGTTTCCACATATTACTAGATGAAATTCATGTAGAGAACTTAAAACTTAAAAATAAATGATTAAAGAATGGAGAGAAATGACTTTAAGATAAATGTACAAGAGTATGGAACTATGGATGGTATTCAGGTTGCTCCAAAATATACTGGCATTCCGCTTAAGTTATGCTCGGTAGCATGAAATTGGTGCCTTGGAATTGGGAAAAAAATAGTTCAAACTTTAGATTAAATTTTCTTCAATTCCAATTCAAAGGTATTCCATACTACCGAGCATAGCATTAGAGTATTTCTATGAATCTTTGAGGGAGAAAATATTGAGGAAAAAAAACTAAGCATGAAACGAAAAGTATCAGGAAAATAGTTTGCTTTATATAAGACTATCAACCGCATAAACATTTTCTTCTGACAAAACGATTGAAAGGTGTAGAGAAGACAACCTCCATTTTTAATTCATCAACATAGAAAAGCATCTAATAAAGTAATAAGGTGTTCAAAGGAACAATTTAACTAGCATGACAAGAAATACAAGATACATACGTGAACTATCAGAGCCCTGACCTTTTTGCTAGATTATGGGTGACCTTAAAACACAATTAAAGGAAGGTGCATTTGCAATGGTAAATCATATATAGTTCTTATTGATGATATTGAGCCAAACTAGAGTAAATATTATGGCAATCTAGAAAAATGAACCAGTGAAGACAGGAATATTATGAAGCCGCAATGAAAAAATATATATATATATTGAAAATGGTGGTTTTTATTCAAGTTTAAGGGTCACTAGGACAAGATTAGTCAAATAGGCATGATTGGAACTGCAGACAGCAGATCCATAAAGGGAAAAATTATGGGAATGAGGATTTCAATTAGTATATCAACCACAGGAAGATATCACCAATATGGATATGGCTACAAATTCATTCCAACAAATCAAAAAAGAACTTATATCATAGCCTATAAACAATAACTATTGTTATCAACCACAAATGAATTTTTGAGTATACCAAATATATTATCCATTTTTACTAAATTAAACAATTTTAATAGGAATAATTTACAAGAGCAGGTTATAGGGGAAAAAAAACCAAAATTTTCACAGCGTTTGGTCAAAAAAATTCTGAGCAAAATCTCTTCAGTTCAGTTTGGTGTGTTTCATTTCCGGTGTGCTCCAATTCAGTTCAGGTGAACCATTTTCTGGAGAGAAGAAGCGTCCATCGGGTTAAAGCGAAGTACATGGTCCATAAATCACTATATCCTATTGTTGCATCAGACATACAGTAATACATATATATAGAAGCTTTAAGCCCTTAATATATACTATCTCCTACGAGACATTTGGCATAAGCAATAAACAATTAAAGCTGGTAAAGAAGGCAACATTAACCAGGATTACAATGCATAGTGCAATGGCAGAAATGCAAGTCAGAACATCATAAAACAATTTTTTGAAACACCATGAGCGCCCGATTTCCTTCATATGAAGATGTGTCTAGAATATGTGTTAGTTAAGATATATCACACTCTTGAGTTATCAATGCATGATTAAAAATGTCATCCTAATGAAAATCTAGCATTAAAGTCTCTTCGAGGTGCAAAACTATTCCTCAGTGTCAGATCAAATCCATGGGTTCATCTGTGAAGCTGCCAAAAAGGATTTGTGTGACCAATCCCAACTAATAATGATGTAAGGGTTCCTCAATTGGGCCAAGGTGTAACAAACTACATTATTTTACTACAAGTTATTATTATTATTTTTTTAAATATCTATATATATATATATATATATATATATATATATATATATATATGTACCTATGATCCGAGGAAAGCACCAAAATTGTCTCAAGTTCTTGGTTTCCTAGCCATCTTTTAGACAACTACATCGTTTGTTCTTCAACCCAATGGAAACCAAACTACAAGCTAGTAATCAATTGAATGGAAATGGTAGTTGAATTTTGGTTCTAATTGTCAGGTTGAACCCAATCATCACAGAAATACAAATAAAATGGTAACATTAGCACAAATAACCATAACAAATAGAGAATTCATTCAAGATTAACTATCACAAATTACAAAGAGAAACCCTAACGGTCCTGAACTAGCAATAATGAGTACAAAAGATATATATATATATATATATATAAAGAGATAAATCAGATGAGTTTGAAAGGGAGGGGCCAAGGGGTGGACCTGGGGACCTCGACCCTGTCCTTGATGCGCTCGATCTTCTTATCCCTCTGTGGCCTCTTGTTGCCGTAAGATCCTTTGAATCTCTTCCCTTTCTTCGACCTCTTGTCCCCTCGTCCGCACAGGATCGGCAACGCCGCCTCCGCCGACGGCGAGGTAGAAAAAGCCGCCGGTCGCTCCGTCAGCATCACCCTTCTCGCTACTGCCCCGCACCACCGCATCATCGCCATCTCTCTCCCTCTCCTAAATTTCCTTCAAGAAATATAAATCACAGATATAAAGTATAGTGTGATATTGTATTAGGGTTTTTTTACGTCGCAGGTCCCTTATTTGAAACTATTTGTAACAACCTCCCTATCTTTTCCATTTTTTTTTCATTTTTAACCTGTATAAATTAGAATCTAACCCTTTCCCTTTTATTCTTCTGTTTTTCATTTCTAGTCCCTTGGCCACAAAATAAATGCAAGGGGATCTTTTTCGTATCATACCCATAACAAAAATATATTTCACCCTCATTTCTCTTCGGTAGGGATTCTCTCCGGCCAAATCCCTCTACTAAACTCATGTGATTTAGATTGGCCACGGTCAATGTTCGTATTGATAATTCTGTTATAATTATTATAGAAATAATTCCAAAAAAAATGGGGTTTTAGAGGTAAAAGGTTAAAAAGATGGTGTCAAACTTCAGTTTTTCAAATAAATGGATTTTATGAAAGGTTGACGTGGACATGAAAATTTGTTGCGAAATAATCCAACTATTCATTCAATTGATCTGCCATTTCTCTCTCTTTTTATCACTTTAGGGATTGACAGCTCCCTGCCTCCCATTGATATAGCCGAAAAAGAGAAAAATCCGCGGGAAAGTCATGATAAGTTTAGGCTCCGATGAGAAGATGATATTTTATAAGACGATGAGAAATTTCGTTCGTGATGGGTACCAAAAAGTTAGACTTTCCCCCTCTATTAGAAATTCGAGTGAACCAGGAGGGACGTCGACAAAAAAGGATAGGCAAGAAAGGCAAAGACTTTATATCATAGACTGATGGTAGGCCAAAAGTCTTGGAGTAAAGAGAAGGAACAAAGTCCACGAGAAGATTCTATCTCTAGATTATTGGATCAAGAAATCCTGGAGTCATAGAAGAGAATAAACAATTCAACAAATCAAATTTTCATATCCTGTCTTCAAATTGAACTTTAGAAAGCCAACTCTATTCCTTACCGCACTCTGACTTACCTTCGGCTGTGTCAATGGTGAGGCAAAGGCATCCTAAAATGATAAAGAGAGATGAAGAGAGAGAGAGGGCAGATCAATTCAATAGGTAGTTGGGTCATTTCGCAACAAATTTTCATGTCCACGTCAACCTTTTCTAAAACTCCATTTATTTGGAGAACTGAAGTTTGACTCTATTTTTTTGGCCTTTTACCTTCAAAATTCCATTTTTTTGAAATTATCCCACTATTATAGGATGTAGAACTGCGTGGTTCGGCCAATCAAAATACGACACACAAGCAAATGTATCTGTTTTATTTAATTTTTGTTTGCAAGTCAAATTGTGTTTTATAATAATTTTTCAAATTTTATTTAATTTCATAATGTGGAGTCTCTTTATAAATGGAATTGAATTCTAACAAATTTAATGTCATGGTTGAAATTCAAGTGCATAGATCAAATGGTTACACACTTTAATATCATCGGTATAGATGATTAGTTTGCTTCAATTATGGAGTTCTTGTGATAAGATGGAATTAAATAGAGAAATTAAATGTGCTTCAGGTTTTTCAACCATTTGTGCACAATCTAACAAGGCGGAGAGTTAAGATGGAGAATCATGGAAATGGGAATATTGGTTATAAGATTGTCTAGTGTCCTAGATCTTGTTTGGATGTGTTTAATAACCAAAAAAGTATTTTTAAATGGTACAATTTTTAGTTCACTAAAGCTTTTAAATGAGCTCAAAATTAAAATTCAATGCTTTTTATATCATGCTCATGAGCAAAGATTCTAACACTTACGATTGTGTTTATGAGTAGAGGTAGTAACTTTTAGGTAATTCTATTTCCATTGACAATTTAATTCTTTTTTCTTTTTCTTTTTTATAAGAAAATTTTATCCCTGTTTTATAAAATTCTGAAGCTATAAGAAGTAATATTGCTACCAAACAAATTAAATGGCACTTTGATGTGAGTCAAAGAGTGCAAAAAATGGCTTTTCACCTATTGGCTTAAAACTTTAGAAAACAACTTAATAATTTAAATAATTTACAGAGGCAATATGGCACCAGAGACGAGATAAATCCAATCATAGTTTCCACACAGGTTTGAAATCTCCATAAACAATAAAATAGTACACAGCAATTTCAGAACAATAGTCTCAAAGCTGTGTACTAGTAACCGCAAAATACAGCAATAAATAAATCCAAACAGACAAAACTTCATAGGCTTTTATTCTGCAGAAAAGCGCATTTCTACTTCTATAATCAGCACTGAACAACCTAGGAATGAATATCCGCTCCGCTACTTTCAAGATAATGAATTTGAAAACCCTGAGCTGGTATAACCACCGAAGATATGCTTGTTTCCTTTCCCCAAAGTGACACCATAAAAACCAATACAAGGACAATAGATGAAAGGGACACTACCTCAGTCTGCTCTGGACTGACCAGCTCGAGAAGACAAGATGATGCCAACAATGAGGCCATAGAGGGCCAGAGCTTCAGCAAATATGAGAATAAGGATCATCCCAACAAAAAGTTTTGGCTGCTGTGCATTTGCTCTGCAAAATAGTCAACATTCAGGGGGGGCATTACAAGAATATAACTCCTAATAAAAAGTTCGGGACAAATAATCCAGTAATCAGATAAAATTCTCCCCCCTCCAGGAAGTATTGTGGAGAGAGAGGGCATACACTTCTAAGAAAAATTCACCATGTATGATTTTAATAATTCAAAAATTATACACAAATTATAAGGAGAAAACTCTCTCCACTACTAATTCCGAGCAATTCCAAAGTTTGACAACATACTCTTTTACCATAAAATCTACTTCCTTACAGTATTGCCAGATTCTCACCATGTCGGAACTGGTTTCCCAAATTCTTCATAACATTTATTCAAAGAATTCCCAGCTCCATGTCATTCCCAAAGCCAAAGCTCAAAACAGTTGCCAACTTCGGAACTAACATTATGTTATATGGCAGTGGTACTACATACCCAAGGCATTAACAAAGAGATATTTAGGAAGCAAGATGACTTAAACCATTCATTTGATGTGAATAATAACGGCCAAAATTAAGATCACCACCAGGTGGACACAATATTTAGTTCTATATTGGTGATGACAGAAGGTACATGGGCCAACAACTGCATAAGTGACATGCAGAAAGAAAGTACCCAAAAAGTAATATTTACCATGATTAGAGAGAGAGAGAGAGAGAGGTGCTTTCAAATGGTTTAGCTTGCAACATAGAACCATAAAAATTCTCAAGAAACTTATCGGATATGAAGAAAAGTAGATCAACCAAATAGCTGAATCTATTTGTGAACAACCTTATTTTTATCATCACTCCAGAAGACTTTCTGAAATCTTTTCGTCATGTGCATTAAAGCCTATCAAAAACAATTTATTTATGGAAACCTACCCGTATAACTCTTATTATTTTCCACTTATAACATTTTCTCAAGAATCCTAAGGAATCCCGGAAGGTCTTATTCAATTGGAACACTTGGGGCAGAGGGTGCCACAGCCACCAGTCTTTACATCTTCTGTCACAAAGACAAATAAAGTACACTCCAAATTCCAAAACACGCAAATCAGAAAAAGAAATAATAATAATGAAGATACCTCACCTAAGAAGAAAAGTTAGGTACACGCACACTCTTGAAAAAGTGGTTAGAGGGGCTTTGCATCTTTTTTGAATTTTATGGACTGAAATACACCTTTTCAAAAAGGAGGAATGCATTGTGTACATAATCTATATTATATGGAAGTTTTCTGCACTTAACCCTTATGAAATACTATTCTACTTTTTCAAATAAAATAATTTCTCCTTTATCTACAAAATTCTAAAAAGGAAACAAAGAAGCAGAATGTTTGCGACTAAATCCTATTATGTTATGATTACAGAAAGGACGATTCTACTATCAGATTTCTTTTTTAAAAAAAACAAAATTTGAACCAAGAACAAGGATTTCTTGGGTGCTACGGTAAAAAATCTTATGGATGGTTAAATGAAAAAGGTAACGGAATATGCCATTATATTCTTACCATTTTCAATTGTTAATGACCTAATTTACCATTATTGTGTGTTAAGAGTTTTTTCCCTCCTCTATAAATTCACAGCCCAGACTTTTTGAAAAGAGTAACGTTCATTTGTTCCTTAAATTTTGTAAACGGGAAATAAGGAATCTAGTGTTCTACCCATAAAAAGTTTTCTTCTAAATTTTCTAGTTACAGTAATAATAATCAAGCACTTGAAAGGATACCTTCCTAAATTTAAAATCTGGTGTTCTGCAATCAAAACTCATAAAACAAGACTTTGATACTTCGAAAATATAATACAATAGAGCTAATTAGAATTTCAATTACTGTTAATATTCAATACAATAAAGCTATTACTGTTAGCTATACATACATATGCATATATATTTAATGAACAAAGTGGTTGTCTTTAGGGTTTTGATTTGGGCCAATTTCCATGATTTCAATCAGAATGTAAAACAGAGAATCAAACACTGTGAGAGAGATGAAACTCGAGCCTAAGAGAGAAACGAACTCAACATGCATTTTTATCAAAGTACAATAAAAAACGTGTGTATTGAAGAGGATTCATGACTTTCATTATAATGGCATGTGATCCTTGTATTTGTAAAAGATATATATTTTTTCAAAGAAAGAAAAAATTAAACATGCTTTATAAAAGTACCCATTTATTAAGAGTTTAAGTATCTGTAAAAACTGGATAAGTGTGAATTATTTGTCAGTAAAAAAGGTACAAAAATCCAGTTGCATTGCTAATATTTTAACACCTTAATGTCAAAGTAATCACTGACAAAGTGATGCAATAATATTTACAGTTAAATTTTTATACTCCTGCACTCAGCTCCAAATTAATTTTTTAATAAAGGGAAAAACATAATTATCTATTCAGATGTAGTGTGTAAAAGTATTAATTTATTGTCACTATCGCCGCGTTTATGAATGTTACTGCTAAGGTTATAATACAATATATATTATAACCTTAAACACATATTAATTTAAACACATATTAATTATCAATTCATCTGTAAAGTATTAATTTATTATACATAGGGTTATAATACAATATATATATATATATATAGCTAAATGCATTGTCGAGGACATGTATTTAAGTAATTATTTATTTTGCATCTCTCGAAAGTCGATAAATAATACAAATCACTGATTGGGAAGCCACTTCAAGAGTTGATCCATTTCACGAACTGAATACCATAAGCCAAGAGTTAAGGAATTACTGACAGGGTGGCGAGGGGAAGAGTTGGCATAACTTCAGTTTTTATTTTTTCTGATTATACTCAACTAGGCCTATGAATAAGGAGAAAGAACAAAATTATGACAATGAATTCTAAATCAGACGTTATGGCAAGGGTTCGATGGTATAAGATGAAGTCCACCACTTTCTAACACATGTCCTTCCTAGGTAGCAACTAGCACGGCATCAACACAATGAAATGATTGGTATGCTAATCAGAAAAGTGAAAAGGCAAGACTATTGTACTTCAAGAAATAAGCAAATCACAGTCTTAACAGAGAACAGAAGGCCGTGGCCTCTGACATAGCTTTTTTTTTAAATAAAGTTTCAACCAAAAACATAGGAAATTTTTTTTAAAAAAATCAATTATTAGCTAGGCCATTTATCAGGCATAATGCACAAAGCACTCAACTCCCATGGTTCAGAGTGCAACAATCAACAGGCATCAACTAATTCCTAAATGAATGTGTCAACCAATATTGCAACCTTGCAACGAGCAGAGCTGCAAGATTGTGAATGCAGTACCTATAAAAGCTATCATAGAGGGGCTAATAATACGGAGAGAGTGCAATAAATCATATTCAAGAAAGAAAAACAACTTTCTTCAACAAGGACACAATCAATTTTGATCATATTCAAGGCAATGAATGCCAGTTATTATTAATAAATAAAAAAATGCCAACTATTTCAGAATCAAACCATATAGCATACGACAAAGAAATAGCAACAATTATACAAGTATAGTTGAGAGAGAGAGAGAAATAAAATATATAAAAAAAACAAACAAACAAACAAACAAACCAATTATACAGACAACTAAAATACCAATTTTGATCACTATTACATAACTACATCAGTATACAAGTCAAGTCAAGCTAAAATAGTAGAGAAGTGACAGTTCAGTTGATATAATCTCAACCATCTTCTCTCTCCGTAATTACCTAAAAATTATAGAGAAGTGAGTTAATATGACCTAAAATGTTAGGCGGAAAGGAGGAAGCGAACTACTGCCAAGCAAGTGAAAATCCTATCATATAATGATACAAGATATATGACATGTGCAAGAAGTAAGGACGTAAGCAATTTCGAGCATCCATTAAACTTTTAGTCTCTTGAGATGAGTAAATAGTTTATAGCTGTAACAATAGTAACTAGATGAGTAAATGGTTTATAGTTGTAAACCATTACTGTAAACCATTAGTTAATGCTCTGGACCTTTACTTTTATATTGTGTATATATACAAAAATATTTTGCAACTCATTTTCATTTTATTAAATAAAAATAGTAATACAAAAATAAGGGAAATTACAACCCAGTCCTACTTTTACACCTTAAAGTCAACTAAATCCTATAAAAATTTTATTAAGACAAAGAAGTCCTACTTTTGAGATCTATTTCCAAATAAGTTCAAATATAAACTTTTTTTAAAAAAATTCCAACATTGTCCTTATTACTAAACCAGCAACCATATGAAACTCATTCATTCTTTCCTTGTGTTCTCTGCTCCAATCCATTAATTATAATAAAGTATACGGAGTATTTACTTTATTTGTCTTTAATTCAACTAATGATAATAAAGTATAAGTTGTATTTGCGTTATTTTAGTTGAATCAAATCCAATAATTATACTTTATTATCATTAGTTGAATTAAAGACAAAGAACTTATAAAAAAAAAAATTATTAGAGACAATAACTATTCTTCTATAATTTTAGTTTTGAATTCAAGACACTAGTCAGATCCCATGTAATAAAATCCATGAAAAGAGACTAGCATCCAAAACCGATCTCCCACCCAACTACTTCGGAAAGTTGATTACTTGACAATTTTTATGCAATCTTCCAGCCAACAACGTTGATGTTGAGAAGAATATGAAGACGTGAAGAAGAGTACCCTAAGAAACAACTAACAAAGGAAGGCTCAAAAGGAAAAATTATCACAATAATGAATGAAAAGGGCAAAAGAGGTATTCTGGTTGTTATGGAACTTTGTTTGAAATAAATTTCAAAAGCAGGACTTCTTTATCGTAATACAAATTTAGTAGGATTTAGTTGTCTTTAAGGTGCAAAAGTAGGAATAGGCAGTAATTTTCCCTAAAAAATATGATAATATAAGTCGCATAAATTTTTTCCCTTTCAAAAGGTACAGCTGACATATTTATTTATTTTTATTTTTATTACAAAACTGATGGCTCATAAATCAAAAATTTTATTTTTATTTGTAGATTTTTTTTTTTTTTTTTTTCCTTATCATTATCCAAGTACCACACTTTTTAGCCAAGTCCCCGTATTCTATTTTTGATAGATTGACGAATTCGACCTCTAAATACGTACCCGATACCCGTACCCGAGTCCAAGTAACATAGACCTCGAGTATGTAACGAAAATCTCAAGGAGCTCAACTCCTACGGATAAATCTCGAGATCCTATAAGAAACTCGATGAGCTCTTTTCCTACAGATAAACCTCAATAACATGATGAAGATCTTTTTGAGATCTTCAATATCATATAGGGGTGGCAATATTTGACACGACACGCTAACACAACAGAAGATAAGCGGGTTTGGGTTTGGACTAATCGTGTTCGTGTTATAATCGTATCGACACGGATTGACCCGCTAACTAAACGTGTCGTGTTCGTGTTTGACCCTATAAATACGATTATGACACGATTAACTAAACGTGTCAGATAAATGTGTTGTATTCGTGTCAAAAATGACCCATTTAGCAAAACATGTAGAATAAATATATCGTATTCGTGTAAAAAATGACTTAATTGTGTCTTTTCGTGTCATGTCAAGTCTTGACCCATTTATTAAACAGGTTATGCGTGTCGTGTCGTGTTACACGTATAATAATTGTGTCATGTTCGTGTCAAGGGTCTTAGACACGATTAATAATCGTGTCTTGTTCGTGTCAACCCTAATCGTGTCCGTGTCATAATCGTGTCGACACGAACACGACACGCCAACACGAATTGCCACCCCTAATATCATATGAGAACCTCAAGGAGCTCTTCTCTCAGATAAACCTCGCGGACACAAGAAAGACCTCAAGGAGCTCCTTTCCTAGAAAAAATTAAGGACATGACAAAGATCTCGATGAGCTTCTCTCCAATTGATAAACCTCAAGGAGCTCCTCTACTATGGATAAGCCTCGAGGACATGACCTAGATCTCAAGGAGCTCCTCTCCGACAAATAAACAACAGGAGTCAGGACATAACGAAAATTTCAAGGAGCTCCTCTCCGATGAATAAACCTCAAGATCACACAAGAACGTAGAGGAGCTGCTATCCTATGGAAAAACCTTGAAGACAAACACAAAGTCCTCGAGGAGCTCATCTCCTACAGATAGAACTCGAGGATGCATTAAAGACAAACTCCATAAGGAAGACTTGAGACATTCTGCTGGTTCAAAAAGAATGCTAAAACAATCAAAGGAAAACATTCTCATTTGAGATCCCTAGATTGGCAGCCTCACCCTATGTAATGAAAATGTAGCAGATGTTGACTAGTGGGATCCTAGGGAAGCTTGGCTTGGAGGATGGAATCTAAGGTACAACGAGAATCCCATCTCCCAAAGAAAGACCCTTCCTCCTGAAAGCAAGCTCGAAAGGAATGAGAGATTTCAAACACCTCGGGATGGCAACCTAACCCTATTTAATGCTCACCTACCCTCCTCAGAAGTACATTATGGATTTTCTTTGGAGAGTTCTGATATTAACAGGTCTTGCTGCAAACCTCCAAACCAACTAAAATATTATCAAAAAAAATTAAAAAATCAAAATTTCACATGCTAAAACCCATTTAGCCATGAGTTGATAATCAATCCTAATGCACTTTATACAATCTCAGGAAGAGGAATGAATTATCCTAGCTATACTTTTCATATATGAAAACCCGGAACACAATACTTGCACCCCACCAACCATAGCAGACATTTTTAAGATACTATAACACAAATTAACATCATTAAATTTACATAAATAAATAATAAAATAAAATTAACAACATCACGCCATCGCATTATAAGTAAGATCAAAAACCACGAAAAGAAGAATACCTAACACCAGCATCGCCAACAATACCGATCGCCATTCCAGCAGAAAGCCCGGCAAGGCCACAAGAAAGACCAGACGAAAGATGTGCATAACCATCAAACAAGTAATAGGACTTGGCCTTAGGATTAATCCCAGTACTGATTATAACAGCAATAATTAATCCATAAATACCCAAAACACCAGCCATAACAACCGGAACAATTGACTTCATCACCAGCTCCGGCCTCATCACCCCCATCGACGCCACACCCACACCGCTCTTCGCCGTTCCATAGGCAGCTCCCATACCTGAACGATCATAACTAATTTTCAAAATCTATACAATTAATCCATACTATTATACATGAAATAAAAAATATATGTATACATATATAGATGCATATATGTAATAGAAGAGATCTAGGGTTAGGGTTGGGGTACAGGAGAAGACGAGGGCAGCAGCGGCGCCGAGGAAGCCGAAGAAGGGAGCAGTTTCATCGCCGCTGAAACCTGCAGACATTTTGTGATGAAAGTTGATCGGATCTGAATACTAAAAACCTTCCGGTCGGCACAGAAAGAGGTTTCGAAGTTGGATCTCCCCAAAATTATCTCCTGCTCCCCAATATTGCTGGAGTTATGCTCTTGCAGGGTAGAGATCTCATAGTTAGATCTTGTTTAGATTAGCACATTTTGAGATAAATAATTATAGGTTAATTTCAATGACACCTTGATGTTTATTATAATTACAATTATATACAAGTTAGATTATTTTTGAACAATAACACCCCACTAGGTTTGATAAAGTTAACAAAGACACCCCTTGCTTGAATTTTTTATCCAAACAGACCCTTAAAAGGTGAGAAAAGACTAAATTGCCCTTCAATAAAATACTAATTTTTAATTTAAAATATCCAAATCTTCAAATGACAGAATTACCCTTATGAATTCTAATTTTATATCTCTATCCTCTCTCACTGAAAACCAGAAATTTTGCCCCCAAAACCACCACCACCCACAACTGCCACCTCCACCAAAAAACGAAACAGAGAGATTGCAAATGGGTTTAGTGAGAATTATTGCATACTATTAATTAATTTCTCTGTGCCTATCCAATGTGTTTCTTCAATTTTGTGGGCAAAAAAATATATATATATTTCTTGAAAGAATGAACAGGGGCAATAGTGGTAGAGAGAGTGGAGGCGATGCCTGGCCTTCGTCAAAGCATCCACTGGCCATGGAGACTCGGCGGCGAGCTTGCGAGCAAGATGGAGAGCACGGGTGTGGATGAATTGCGGCAAAGCGGTGATGGACTAGCTGTGACGGCTTGATGAAGCCGATAGAGACGGGCTGGTTAACTGCGGCGGTGAGCGAGGAGGGACTCTCGGCTTTGATGATGTCCACAAGCGGGCAAGGAGAACTCGGTTGTGGATATCTGCGACCGGCGATGAGAGCGACGGCGAGCTCGGCCAGTGGCTGAGGATCGGTGAGACAGATCTGGATGTCCACCGGCAGGGACTCTCAGCTTTGATGATGTCCACTGGCGGGCAAGGAGAAGTCGGCTATGATTTGCGACCGGCGATGAGAGCGACGGCGAGCTCGGTCGGTGGCTGTGGACAGTGAGACAGATCTGGCGAGGGAGGTGGAGCTCGGCTGTGGTTGGCGACGGTGCTGCTATCCCAATTTTTTGTTGGACTTGGTTTTATATATATATATATATATATATATATATATATATATATATATATATATATATGATGGTGTTGATGTAATAATGTATATATATAAGGGCAAAATTGACTTTTCATAAGTTCTGATATTTTCCCACAAAAATGAATTAAACATTGAAGGGCAATTTCGTCTTTTTAACATTTTAAGGGCTTGTTTGGATCAAAATTCTTACAGGGGGTGTCATTGTTCAAAAAATGGCTAAGTTATATATGGCTGTTAATACATCAAACCTCAGGGGGTGTCGTTGTAATTAACCCATAATTATAATAAATAAATAAAATTGTGTTCAAGATGACTACTACTACTATTATTATTATTATTATTATTATTATTATGACGATGATGATGTTATTGGAAAGAAAAAAAAAAACCTATTACTTTTTTTTTATTTTTTTTATTTTTTATTTTTATTTTTTAAATTTAAGAATCCAAGCAACTACTCGTCTTTTGAACTTGTAGTTATCAAGGAAACCCCCGCCTATTCACCCCAACCTCACAGTGCGAGTAACAGATAAAAACCTACTTTGCGAACTCGAACTATTGTTTTTTTTTTAGGGCACATGTTTGACATTTCATATATGTATCCATAAATAAAAAGGACTTTGGACACTTTTCCGACACATTCCAACACTTGACACTTCTTGGACACTTAAGTTGAAACTTTCAAACATTTGTAACACAAGCCTACCCACTAATCTTGAAAATAATATAAACGCATTCTAACGTGTTCAACTTTTTTCCTTAGTAAAAATTGACATTATACACATATGGTCACAAAACAAAACATTAAATAATATTTGTTCAATTAAAAAATAATGACAAAGTTTCATGGAAAAAAAAAAAAAAAAAAAATGACAAAGTAGTGCACTAATTGTATATATGATATAAAAGTCATTACAACTTTTAATATAAAATTAGAAATGAATTAAAGTTTTATAATACTATTACTCAATACAGGTATATAAATAAAAGTTTAGAGACGACTAATTGCACTTGGGGATGCGAATGTGAGTTTTGATTGGTTAAAAAAACAGGTATAATTAATACACTACTCCTATTTTTATGGAGCATTAAATCTAATTTTTAAAGATGAAATTACCTTATTTCTTGAATTTTATTCTCTCTTCTCCCTGTGTTTGTATATATATATATTTTTTTTTCTTTTTTCTTACCTTTTTTTTTTCTTTTTTTAATTGTCTTTTTAAACTGATTCATTCTTTACTTCTATTTTGTTTTTTTTTTTATTCAAAACCAATCATTTATCCTATGTTATCATATATGATTATCTATCACTCATTAAACTATGTTATCTCTAAATGTGATTATCTCATCACTAAATCATTCACTTTGATCATTTACAAATAATAAAAACTCAATTATACAATTTTACTTAGACTAAAATTCAATAAGTGTGATTATTCCATCACTACTATAGTTCTCTCTTCCTCTGTCTTTACTAAACCATTCATTTCTATCTTTTACAAATAAACTAAAACTATATTATATACAATTGTACTTCAAAGAAAATTTAACTCTATAATTTACTTCAATTAAAATTTACGTCTTGAAAATTCACATCTAAAGTATAAATAAATAATATTTAATATGAAAAAAGAAAATTTAATTCTATAATTAACTTTAAAAATTTGTTCCTACGTTGTCATGATTTTACAATTCCAAATTAATGACTAATTCATATAATTATTTAAAGTTGTGAATTATGAAAAACTAATTGTCCTGCTAAAATAATATATTTCATTCCAATGATAAGAAAAACTCAGGAACTAAAATTAAAACCAAATTTCAATGAGAAACTGAATATTAATACATACTTAAACAAAAAGAACACTCCACTAGGACGACGCGGAACAATTTCTTTGCTTTTCGCAAATATCGTACTGTTTCCCTCGGGGTGAAATTCTTCTTCGTCTTCATCTACTTCTTTAGGTGGCTCACAATCAGAATCATTGGTAGATGTCATTTTGGAACTCTGGCCAACTTGACAAGTATTATTTGCATTGATAGTATGACTACATTTCTGAGTAGGAGAAGGATCAATGATGGTTTTCTTTTTTTGAACAGGTACAATTTTCTTTTTCCCTTTTTCTTTCTTACGAGCTATACTCTTCATCCTAACCATTTCAAACCCTAAAAAAATGTGGTGCATTGCATTGCATTTTATGCACATTTGTATTGAAATGCATAATTAATGTTAATGAGATTGATTTGTAGTTCAAGTGCTATAAGATCCTCAGTGTATGATCCCGATTCCTTTTTGTCCCCGCTATGTGTTGTGCAGCTCAAGGGAGTCCAAAGTGGACGTCTTAGGCAACTTCCACTGAGCCTATGTGCTCACCCCTTCCTTTAACATTTTTCAGGTTATGACGAGGATGTGGTTGATGACAAACCCTCATATGCGTAGTTAAGGTTGACGGGAGCCTATTTTATTATCCTTTTATTGATGTATAGTGGATGCAAACTCTTGTACAACATTGTAAATTCGACCATAAGGGTCTAAGTTTGTAACTTGAATTCAATTGGATTATTTTCAATATAATAAGAATCATGTAAATGTAACGACCCGAACCTAAGGGTCCAAATTGCTAACCAAGTCCTTACCTGTAATACCCCTAATTTTAAAAGGATAGTCTCGGTATTTATTTATTTATTTTAATTGTATTGTTAATTATTTAATTGATTATTTGACTAATTACTTATGTGTTTAATTGAATTAGCTATTTATTGATTATTTGATTATGTGTCTATGTATTATTTGTATTTGTCTATTTGTTAATTGTTTAATTAGATTATGTGCTTAAATGGTGTTTTGATTAATTGTAAATTAAATGTTTTCTTTTCTTTTATTATTTTATTTTATTTTTCTTTTATGGTTATGGTTAGTAGTAATGGGCCAACCAATTGGGTCACATGGACTACTTGGATAAGAGGTTGGATGTGTGTGGATTATTATCCATGGATAATTATGTATGTATATATATATATATATATATTATATATATATATATATAAAGGAAAGTAATTTATTAATTACTTTTATGGTAATTTAGGTAATAATATTTAATCTGATGTATATGTTTGATATTTAAATAATAAAAATATACATAGATTTGATACGTGTTATGTTTTAAGTTATTTTATAATATTATGGTAACTTAAGTATTATTGGATAATCCATTAATAAATAATAGAATGTGTATAATTTATTTATTTATTTAATAAACATATACATAAATTATATACGTAACATATTTTACTTACCTTTTTAATATCCTTTTATGGTAACTTAGTTAGTAATATTTAATCTGATGTATATGTTTTATATTTAAATAATAAAAATATACATAGTTTTGATACGTGTTATATTTTAAGTTACTTTATAATATTATGGTAACTTAAGTATTATTAGATAATCTATTAATAAATAATAGGATGTGTATAATTTATTTATTTAATAAAGATATACATAAATTATTTACGTAACATATTTTACTTACCTTTTTAATATTTTAATATTTATTTTTTTTAAGTTGACTTGGATTGGGAAAAGGGTTAGGGTTATTTTATTTAGCCTATAAATATATAGTTATAGGTTGTAAAAGGGGGTTAGAAATATTTACGTGATATATTCTAGAGAGAGAGAGTTAGAGAGGGAAGGAGGAAAAGGAAGGGAGGAGGAGAAAAACCCTGTAGAGAGAAGATCAAGGAAGAAGAAGTTTAACTTTCGATCCGAAAGTTTAAGGCAAGTTCTTCTTCTATCTCTTTCCCTTTGATTCGTGTTTCTGTACATGCCTAGGAAATTTCAGGATTTATTAAACACATAAAATTAAATAATTATGCATGTTTAATTGGATTAAAACATAGGTTTTTATGAAATTGGTTCATATCTGTTCTTGTGTTATGAATTGATAAATGTATGATTTTGATT